GAAAATGTTATAGAACCAAAATTATTCCTTTTGATAAAATCCACAATAAATCCTCATAACATTTTTTTCTGAATTCAATAGTTCGGGAGATACGATGAAAAAACTAAAAAATTCACAAGTTCCTAAATAATCACTTGTCGATAGAAAACAAAACAAAAAACAAAAGAAAGTAAAAAAAGCACACTCTAGTGCCTTGATTTTTTTTCTCATAAACTACGTACCTAGCTCACTCGACTGTGTGGAAAAACCATGACAGTCGAGTGGGCTAAGTACGTAGTTTGTGGGAAAAATCTTCAGTTCTCCGAACTTTCATAGCGTCGTATACACATCCTTGGTGCCCAATGATAGTTTCAATATAAAAATATACTCATGATATGGTGCCATGGCCCCTACTTCCATCTTACATGAGCAATGATAAAATATAATCTGCTTTTATAGCGTCGTATAAATTATCTGACCTCTAAATGAACTTATACCTTATGAAAACTACATCTATACTAATCTGATACCTTTCAAAAACTACGTACCTCACTTGTTAGGTAAACAACTATATCGCAGAGACAATATCAATTTCGAGTATTCTTCATTTCGTTTATGTCCTCCTTGGCAATTACCGGAATTAAAGGAATCCTAATAGGAGTCAGAGATGAGAGGAAGAGAGTTGTCGCAGGACGGCCTTTCGTTAACTAAGACGGAGATCTCTTTTAAGCTCGGTTAATCTAACTTTTCACCCTCTTTACCGAGATCAAATTACTTTTCACCGCGCGCCAACTACGTTTTTCCACTAATTAATGTGCGAGTTTTTGTTTTAGCGAAGGATCGAGGATTATGAAAAGATCTCTTTATTTCTTTTTATGAATTCTTTTGATGAAACGACTAATGGATGGCTCGTTCAAAGGAGGTTGGAGTAATAACGATAAGATAACATGGACACCGAGTCAGTCTATCTTTTCAGTATTTTTTTTCCTATTCACAACAACAGAGAATATTCACTTAATTACCCATTGGACGTAATACGAGATGATTCGAAAAATATGTTTTGAACTTTCAGGTAATTGACATAGTAATAACTCGTCAAAATAAGGAGAAAGTTTTTGTGGAACTAAGAGACCTCTTTCAGTAAGGACAAAGGAACATAAATACAATATGAAGAAAAGACACATCGACAAATCGAAACTAGCTGAACATATCCTTACTGAAGATGGACAACATATGGCAGAGTGGAATAATATCAGAATCATTGGAAAAAAAAATCAAGGAATCTCCTTGCATCCTTCTGAACGGAGACAATAGCATTGCTTCCTGTTCAGTTGATATAGATAGAACATGGTATTCACTACTGAAATCTGAAAATGAAAATGGTGAATTCAAGATTAAATAATGAAAACATCCTGTATATCATTTGATCGCCAACGTCACCAATTTTCACTGAACACTGAAAAGTGTGAGGACAAATACGAATTTGCAATACAAAAAAAAAACGTCCCGAAACGTCCAGAGATGAGTAAAAATTTGATATTTTTTCTATAAATACCTTTATTTCTCTTCTCCAAACCTTTTTCTATACGAATTGTCACTGACAACCTAGTGAATTTTTCTTTTAGGCTCTCTAATAGGAAATTTTTTCAAACGCAGTGACATTTTAGGGTAAATCATCTGATTTTCACTAACTACACGTTTATTGAAATAGTATTCATATTTTAATTTTATATAGAGACGAGGAGTGAAAATCCCAAAAAATCTGGAATAATAAACACTTCATGTAGTTTTCAATGAGACAGATCATTATGTTCTTTGATTTGAAATAATTACCTCAGTGAGAAGTCCATGAAAGTGAGAAACCCTCATTTTCATGTTGGCCTCCAAATTGAATTCTAGTTCCCTCTCTATAACGATTCAACTGGACCATACATCATATATTTGTCATGTTTTCGAGTCACACAAAGAACGATGACTTCGTGATACTGTTGGAAACACAGAGATCCAGCAGGATGGAAGAGTGTCCGGGTAAGCAATTTAATTTAATTTTCTTGGAAAAGCCGTTTTCCAGCTCTAGAATCGACTGGGGAAACAGGAAAAGCTCATTAGGGAAAAAGAACGAGCTCAACGTTATTTTTTTTCTTCAAGAAAAAACCGGAAAACAATTTGAGATGTTACAGGAAAAATTAACTTTTCATTAGGCAAAAAGAAGTTGAAATTCACTATCACCGTGCTCTCTGATTGTCTAGGAAGGAAAGATATTCATGAATTTTTTATATTTGTTTCCACTATTCGAAAATTTTTGGGCGTTCTGCATACAATAACTGTTCAAGTGAAAGTCACCAAATTTAATTATTGAAAAAAAAAATTGTGATGATCAGAACATTCATTCTGAAATTCCTACACTAAATGTCGGTCACGTTGCCTCGAACTGCAAATGAGAACAATAATCTGATATTTTTATATAGGAATATTAATCTAGGTTGATCGATTAATATTGTGTCCAATGAAATTTTAAGTTCTGTTCACATGCGAAATGCAGAATTATTGGAAATTGATGTTGGAAAAGTAATCAACACAAACACTGCGTTGTTTGTTTTCGATATTTTCCTTTCGGACTGAATTGCTCCACGTGAGATATATACTTTGTGTACGGTTAACCAAAACAAAAATGTTCATGTGAGTGAAATATACATTCGCCTGGTATAAACTCAGTACAAGGGACCGAAACGACAGTGTCCTTAGGGCTACAGAATATTTTGTAGTATTTTTATTTGACGATGAAATCCCTTACCGACAATTCGTTTCGAATCTGGTTATACAACATAGTTTTCATTTGGAAGGTAGGAAAGAATTCATCTCGTGAAACGGTTGAGATGATCGGATAAGACAAAAACAAGTTTTCGATCATTTTGAAACTCTACTAAGCAGCATATAACAGGGTGTCCCGAAATTAGCCTGGCAAACTTCACCAACAAATGTTCGGATCAAATAATCCTCACACATCGCAGCAGTCAGTCCATGATGAAAGCACTATACACTCACTCAACTACCTAATATACTATCAATACTTGCTCAATAAACTACTGAAGGTCTTATACATTATCATTGATTAGAATTTAAAGTATTTCTATTTGAAATTTGAACGAAATCATGAATATGCCGGAAACGTGACAGATATGTCGAATCACGATCAACGGATCAAGATCACGATTTCCGCACGGATTATTTGTTGCGCCCTGTACCTTTTACGTCCTGTCTCTCGGTGCTTCTATTCAACTATTATTGAATTCGTGCACCATCAGCGGGACTTTTCGTGTCCCGAAAGAAGGAAAACACATCCTTGAAAGTCTAGTTCAACTTCATAATCAGAATGGAAACAAATTTCCAAAATTTCGAAAAATTTTCTATGGTTCACGCCATCTAACATCGGGAATGAGAACCACACCTTCCGAACTCGCAATCAATTGTTCATTCCGAGTGTTAATCTGACGAAACAATTGAAGAGTGGGTACACCAGAAGAATCACAAACATCTCAATCATTACCATATCAGCGAAATAACGCCTAACTGCTATTTGACATGAAATTAGTTGATTTTTGGGAGTTTGCATGGCTCCTGGCTGTAATTATCGAAATAAACTATCGAAAGCAAGAGCGATAGTGAGTTTGAAAACGTCCATACGAAGTATCAAATGTTATTGTTAGTAGGTATAGGTATTCTGTTCAAATTTCACTATTTGATACGAGTAGGAATTAAAATGTTCGAAATTTTATTCTACAAAGAAATATGATATATGGAATTGTGTCTTATTGATTTGTTATTCTACATGTTCGCAACTCGTCCAAAAACAGTTTCTTTTGAACTCGCACTCGTCCAAAAAAAAACACATTATTTTCCGGACTCGTTACGTCAATTACTATTACATGAGAAAAAATCGTCTTCAAGGTGTCCTTTTCAAAGATGCATTTCCGGAGCCATATTGATAGGAACTTTCTACCTTATTTTTATGCAAGGAATACTCCCCCGGAAGGATGCCGCTCACTTTTGAATCACCCTGTATTTTTCATCGGTATGAAAATGTAGCATTTGAAGCAAACAATAGAAATGGTCGATTTCGAGGAATCCAAGAGTTACACCAACTATTGAATGTTCTGAATATTCAGAAAGGAACTCTCGTTCTTTTATATCTTCAGGAGCGCACGTAAGGGAATTCCGTGCGTACTTCTTTGAACTTCTGGGGATTATAAGTTGTTGGGGATACTCTATTTTCGATATCGATAATCCCTACAGTTTTCTAGAAAAATCTATTCAACCATCTGGTGAAGGAACAAATATTCAGTGCGTTCGCCAAAAGTTGAAAAGGCATCATTCGACCCTGTGTTTTTATTTGAACGATTCAAAAGCACTTTTCCCAGGTTGCCATTATACCAAGTGGTTCATTTTCATTTCATGATTGGATCGATCACGAAAAAATTTGGTGTATAGTAGGTACTGATGAGTTCACAATGAATCCAAAAAAGAAAGGTAAACAAGGGATTGTTTTTACCCTTAATCCCTCCAGAATGGTACGCCTCTGAATCAAATTCAGAGCCCAAATTCTGATTCAGCATCAAAAGTTCATATGATATACATTTTGATGATTTGTTGATGAACGGTTTCGGAAAAACAAATATTCATAGGTAGCTTCTTCATTGGAATACCTCGGAGTCACCTTACAATGTTTTACTAATGTTCACGAAACACCCTGTATAAATAGCTATTAGTTGTAATCATATCAGTATCATTCGCCTCTACTATACCTGATTTCCAGCAGTTCCAAAGTTTACTGAGAGTTCAGAGTTATGTGTTGTAATTTCATGCGTGAATAAAATAAGTATTGTATCGGATATTTCTTGTGGATGTGGGATTTAGTTCGACGATTCGAGTTCTCACAATGGTTCATTGATGCCTCATACCCTTATTCATCATCCGAAAATAATAGAGTTGATGCATGCATATTCAATGACAACCCAACTCACCATTTCTGTTTTCGCTGTCGGCCGGCTTCATTTGAATGGGATGATGCATCTGAAACAGACAGAATGAGTTGATTAAAAGTGAAATTGCGAATCCCTGAAATCATTCACGTCCAATTTCGAGACAAAAACCGTCAATACAGAAATTCTCATCATCTGTCGTAACTTCGAATTCAGACGTGTTCCTATAAATTCAGACTCTTATTTCTCTTCAGGAGAAGATTTAGAGTTTTAATTTTCTCCTGAATATGCTAACATAGTTAGCGAAACACGTGCCGAGGTGTAGAAAATCGGTTTGGTTAGTGGTAAAACAGTGTGTAGTGTATTATCGTGCCAAAAGTTCCAGTCTTCGATATACAGGGTGTCCCAAAATTGCAAGGACACAGAGCTACCACGTGTAGAGGAGGTCACAATAAGTTGATTGGACCCAATTTATTTTTGCGCCAAAATGTACCGTTTGTCCGTGAGAACGGTTCAAAGTTCACATAAAAATATAGTTGTTTATTATACAAGGGGAAAATGTAGTAGAGACAGGAGGAGGGAGACGAAAAACCGTGAGCTAAAACCTAATATTTTCCTGTGTATAATACACTATTTTTTTCTGTGACAGAAGAAAGGAAGAATCAATTTTGATAAGATATTACATTATTTTGAAATCTGAAAATTATCGACGTGAAATTGTAAGTTTTTAACAGTAGGGACACCTGCGTTGTAGGCATCTTCATCATTCTTTTGAAGTAATCAAATATTTGATGTCACTTCTGTCAGTCTAATTCTGTGATTTGATTTATAGAATTGCAAATTTAGTGGTTGTTTAGTAATATACGTAACCGCGAAGTCGAATGGAAGATAAAAGGACTTGCAGTTCTTTCTCGGAGACGGTATTTTTGACTCATTTTTCGGAACTATAGCACAACAAAAGCCATCAACAGTGTATATATATAATATGTGATATTCAATTAATATTAGTAGCTGTATAAATCAATAGATTAGGTATAGGTTTTGTGGGGATGCAGCTGATGTGGGACTCAAAAGAAAACTCTTTTCACTTTTGAGAAAGCTTTCGGAATTTATTTAATTCCTTCGTCAGTCTCTCTAAAATGGAATGCACAATTATAATATTCAGAAGAAATATGTATTAAAAATTACTTACAGTATATGAGGTTGTAGAATTGCAAATCAGAATAATATGTAGTATAAAATTGTAAAAAATGCATAAATTCATGGATATAAAACTAATATAACTTTGTCAAAGTGACAATATGTAACATGAAAAAATACATGGGGTTGAAAAATTAGATAGGTAAAAGGTTGATCAAGATGGAATTGAATTCATGGATATATTGTGTCTATCATGCCTTTTATTCTCTATTTCTAGAATATTTGAATAAATTACATTTAAATTTTGAATATCTGTTTTTTTATTCATTGAGCATTTTTCATTTTTTATATAAATCATTCCTAAGAAACATCTCTTGAAAGTATTTTTCTCTGATACTAATATCGAGATGTTATCAAAATCCATTTAATGTCCAGTATCATCAACAGCTGCATCCCCACAAAACCTATACCTAATCTATAATATGTGATATATATCCGGGAAGAAAGTACTTTTTTTTTTCCCACGGAAAGTGACATTTTATAACCTGCCAACAGAGATGAAATGCCAAACTCTTTTCCCGTCACAGAAAAAAACACATTTTTGTATGCTGTTCAAAAATAAGTGGAACGAATTTGATGAAATTTGGTATTAATGTTTTTCAGAGGAATACTTTCCTTTTGATAATCGAATAAAACTAAAAGAAATAGTAGAAGGGTTAAAACCACCCTCACCCCCTGACATTTTTTTCAGAACTTTTTTAAGGGTCATAATGCGATTCTGAAATTTTTTGAGAATCAATTAAGTACCTTCATTTTATTATTCTTGTAAAAATTTTGTATACCGCATAGTTTCGGAGAAAAAAAATGTTTTCTCGAATAATGCTAGCGCAGATATTCCCATCAGTACAAGTTTAAGTAAATTGTGATATGAAACTTAGTTGGCAGTGGAAACGGGGGCAAGTCGTGATTTTGGCAGGAAACAAATTCATTGTCATTCAAGTTTGTTGTTGACGTCTGTAAATTTTTCAATAAATTCTTCAATTTTGTTATTACCACGAGTACCATTACCGACCATTCATTATTATTTAATTGTTGTTGTTATTTAAACTGCTATCAAATATGAATTTCTCTTATAATCAGCAGACCTATATGATCATAGTCCTTGGATTCTGTCAAGGTAACTAAGGTAACTAAGAGTAATGAAATTAAGGTAACTCATTAGTCTTCAAGCTTAAGAATTTCAGGATCGTATTATAAACCCCTAAAAAAGTTCTGAATGAAATGTCATGAGGTGAGGGTGGTTTCATCTCTTCTACATCTTCTTTTATTACCAAATTTCATCAAATTCGTTCCACTTATTTCTGAACAGCGTACAAAAATGTGTTTTTTTATGTGAACTTTGAACCCTTCTCACGGACAAACGGTACATTTTGGCACATAAATAAATTTGGTCCAATCAACTTATTTTGACCTTCTCTACACGTGGAAGCTCTGTGTCCCAGCAATTTTGGGACACCCTGTATAAAAAAATGCCCTGGCTATTGTCATTTTCTTATGGAAGTTTCATCATAATCAAGGATGTGAAAAGCCAAAGCCTTTCAAAACTTCAGAAGATATCTTCCACAATGCACCGTAGCGGGAAGGAAAGACGGTCAATAATGTAGAACGATTACGATGCACAGCGTGTTTCACTCTGCGCAGACTTTGCTATTCAGATCAGATTGGACTTTGGCCTGACGCTCGACAATTCAGAGAGATAGCAGGATGACTTTTGTATTTCTACGCCAAACGAATTTAAATATTGTATCGAGTGAAGTTTCAGAGAGCTTGCGTCGTCTATTTTCTTTCAATCTTGAAAACTCTACTGGAGGTAGAGATGCCACCTTTGAATTTGTGATTTTCAGAACAGAGTAGTTAGAAATGCAGGATAATTAATGGAAAATCAGGACACATTTTTACGAAACTATGAGAGTACGAGCGTTCAACGGTATAAAAATAGTACATTCTATTATAAGGATCAAAAGTGACACTTTGTTTGGCAAGCGAATTTTGCATTTGCGAGGCGGAATAATTGAAGGCAGATTTTCAAATTTGGTATACTTAAAGACCTATATGTAAATTCTGGACAATTTTTCTCGAGTGTTTTCTCGTATTTGCAACACAAAACGCTTTACATAAAAATATGTTTTTTCTGCAATCGGCTCAAAAGTCGTCCATTTTTGTTCCAGAATAAGCTCTTGAAGTAGACGTTTCTCTTACTGACACAATGAAATAATTAGTATGTATGTTGCTAGGCAACACTTCCACTGTCTAGGAGCTGAAGTTCTCCTAGGAACTAAAAACGTGTCGGATGACAGCTGATATGATAGCTGCTTCGACAGTGACATGCTCAAGTTACCCAAAATGGGGTATTTTCACCTGTGATACCACAAGAAGTCAAATTATTTCCGGAAAAGTTCCCGGATATTCGGTAAGAAAGTTTCACACCAGAATGTGTTTGGAAATTAAATAGAATTAGAAGTTATTTGTACATTTGATTTGCATACAGGTTCATGAATGAATTCAGTTTGTTTCGCAGTTTTGGCACCAATGATCGATTCCTGATTTCTACCTATTATATTTGCATAAAAATACTAGTATAAAATATACTACTACAAATATACTAAAACATACTAGTAGTAGTAGAGAAAGGGGAGGCGGTCGCATAGCAAGTAGGCCCAGTGAGCCTTTCTTGCCGACCCCTGCTGCACACGTTATTTGCACATAATATCTACTATTCCTTCTCCTAATTCTCCTTCTCGAACCTCGTGGATTCCTGATAAAGGTCAGTATGTCCGTACACCTCAGGAATTTGATCTTCCTGTTGAAGCGTATCTTTACCAGAAACTTCGAATATTAGCCTTCCGAAACGCCTTACACTGGCCCAGGTAATGGCACGACATTCTATATAATAGATGCAGTTAGGGCAGCAATGGATTCTTAGCCTATTAATTAATTGTTGATTTCTACCCAATCGAAGTGTCACAAAATCACTATATTAGGACGTCAAAATATTATTATATATATCTGTTATTAAAACGTCATAAAAAAATTTCCGATTTCATACGCTGGTGAGTACCCACGAGAAAAAGATTTCCGCTGCTGGCTATGGTAATTTGTCATAAAAATCCAATTCAACTATATAAGAATCACTGATGTGGAATTTTCACTCATGTTTCATTGATTAGGTATCAATTATTTCGATTTCAAGAGAAATTGCATGTTTCATTCGGATCAAGAGTGACTCTGTTTGACTCGCAAAATTCGGTTGTCAAACAAAGTGTCACATTTGATCCTAATAAAACAATGTACTATTTCCAAAAATGTACGAGGCTTCTTGAAGTACTCATGATCATTCATATGATATTTCCATATTGAATATCCTTACATGGAGAATAACTAATTTATTGGTTCGTAGTTCTCAAATTATTCATCTCGTTCTGATTTCATTTTCTTGACATAATAAGAAATAGCGAAATTACAGCTTGTGAGACAGCCTGCAGAATCTTTCTCGATAATGTCGAATATTTGAACGATTGCCATCCATTTCCATAATATTATTGGAATTGAGAATTCGTGCTTCGCAGGACATCTAACCCAACTTCCTGAAATTCTCCACGTCGATATCGGAACGTGAGATAACGTTTCTCCAAAACGTCGCATTTATTCGAAACGAACGACATTTCTACAGATAATTGAAAAGGTAACTTGAATTCACGTCAGCAAATTTCCATAAATTAAAACTATCTAAACGACGAATAGCACGACGGAGGCATTCATATTTCAAAATTAACTTCGAATTTGGCTCGAGGATTCCTTTCTGTATTCGTTGTGGAGTTTTCCGTGCAATCGAAAGTTATGGACTAGACGGAGTCATTCGTTCTACGAATACTGTGGATGAAAATATTGATT